TTTTTTTTTTTTTCTCATTTTTCATTCATTTACAAAATCACCTAATATTACCTTTTCTCTTTCGGCCCAAACATGACTAGGGTGCATTTGGCCTACTGTTATGTAATTGGTTAAACTTGGCAAAATAACTGAAGTTGAATTTGATATTGCTCTTCTACAGGTCCTGCATCCACTATCCATGAGACCAGCTATGGAGGGTGATATTCCTGTCAAGGTTAAGAATTCTTACAACCCTACAGCACAAGGAACTCTTATCACAAGAGAGAGATATGAGTAAGGTTTTTAATAGCTGATTGTTTGCATAATGCGATGTAAAGGAATCCACTCTACATTAATGGTTCTTTTCCTTGTGGCAGTCAGTGCTTACTAGCATTGTTTTGAAAAGGAATGTTACAATGTTGGATTATTGTCAGCACTTGCATGCTTGGTCAGTATGGCTTCCCTGCAAATGTCAGAAAGGATGTGTTCTAGTTCCGCCCTTATCTTCTTGGTCAGTAGCTGAATTGATGTGTATGTTTTCATCCATGCAGGTATTTTCAATCTTTGAAGATCTGGGCATCTCAGTGGATGTTGTAGCAACCAATAAAGTTGGTATTTCCTTTTTCTTCTATTTTTTAAAATTTATTTGATTTACTAGGATATTTTGTTGGCTGTGGACTAATTTATTTCTCCATTGGTTGCTATTGATTTGAAATCAGTTGAAAAGTTTCTGTGCGATGTCCTTGCCGCACAGAAGGAGCTGAAGGTGATAGAGTAGATGGAACAGAAGAGATGCTGCCCAGATTTGGTTGAGAACAGCAGGTGGTTGTTGAAGATGCTAAAATTTCTCTCAGAGGAGTCCAGATCAATCAAAGAGCTAAAGTTAAGAGCCTTTTTCTCTTTTTGATTATCTTTTAACAATTTATTTGATTCCTATGATATTTTTGTTGGCTGTGATTTATTTATTTCTCTTGGTTAGTAGTGATCACTCACGATAACATGACCACTAAGATTGTATCCAATGTTGGACCTTCTGAAGTTAGGTAAGCAGAAGTCAAATAGTTTCAAGTCCATGTATAATATCTTTAACCGAAAAAAAATTAATGCTCAATTTACTTCAGTGCAGGATAGCTGAAGGTGTTTTACAAGAACACAGGAATGATTAAAGCTGATGGGCCTAGATGGCAATTCATCACAGCTGCCATCAAGACCTCATTAAGGTGAGCATTAACAATTTAATGTAATTCTTAAACTATGTGGTACAAAATTATGGTGACAAGTTACTGATGCTGACCCATAATAATCTGAAGTCATATACAGGGAATGCCTTCAATCTGGAGAGTGTTAATTGCTTCTGAAAATCAGCAAGAACTAGCAAATCTTCTGTTAGGTTAACATAAAAAGGTTATAATCTTAAATGCATATTGATAATAGTGGCCATATAATAAGGTTTCACTCTATGGTGCATTTAGATTATGTTGGAGGATTGGTTCTTGATTTTTACTGCATTTCTTTGTAGTCTATTATTTGTAACTTTGCCCAACTTATTAAGTACAACTTGCAGTTCGAATTAGAAATTCATTATTAAGCATTCATTGTTGACTGCATAGAATTATTTAAATTTTTACAACTTTTGTTAAGAGTGCGGGGATGCTACCCTTGAGAAAGAACTGGTTGTGGGTGAGGTTTAGAAGGTAGAGCAAGAAAACCTTAAGAAGCTTAAAGAAACTAGAGAAAGAGCTAAGAAGGGCTCGGCAAAAATATCTTTGGGTCTGGGGGTTCCTAATTTCCATTCTCCAACATGAGTTGAGTGATTTGGGTAGTGGTTGCGTGTAGTTAAAGTAGCTTAAAGTTGCACTACGTTGTTCAAAATAAAAAACGCTTTGGAGATATACTAGAATCTTTAAGAAAAACTATGCATAGGACCTAGCTACTATAAATTTTGAAATGAAAATAATGAAACAAATGCCACTTCTGAAAGATAGATTAGGTGGTGTTAAACTTGAGGTAAAATGGTGTTAATTTAACTGTGGTTAAAGGCAAGGTAATTCTATGGTTTGCCAACTGCTTGCTCTCTCCACAAAGTATCATATAAATGTCTCAGCATTCTATGAGTAATTACAAATGTAAATCTTTTATTTTTAAACTGGAATATGGAAATAGTGTTATAATAGGTGAGATTAGAATGATGATTTGGCATGGCAAAAAAAGGGGAATAATGATATGGCATAATGACACCAAATGTTTTGAAGTTTCCTATATCAAACTATTTACTGTTAATTGATTGTGCTGTGACTACTCTTGCCTCTTGCGGGTATTTGGCAAGCAGGAAGCTAATATTGGACAATTACATGGCTCCTACTATATTAGGAATAAAAAGAAATTTGAACTTCTAATAAGGTCATGTGTTTATTGCAGATAGTTTATTACTACCATAACATTCAAGGATCTCATTACCTATATAGTTTTCGGTGTTTGGATGAAATTTTTTCTTTTACTGTTTGGTGGGTAAAATATATAAATTTTAATTGATTAAAAGAAACTTATCTAATTTGATGTTTATTTTCTTCTGCAAGTAGGGGCACATTTTTAATTAAATATATAAATAGATTAGTCAAAAGCACTTGAATGGTAAATGAAGAATGCTAACATGATGCAAATATTACTTTGGTAAATGATGATGCATACATGCCTACTTTTTGCAAACAACACTTTCAGTCGCAGGCAACTTAGAATTCCAAACAAGGGCCACTCCCGCATGTTCAGATGCTACTCTCCTTTGGGTGGATCAAGAGCATAGTGCAAGTCTAGACAACATGTGGACTATTAAATCCCATTGCGCTGGCCTTCTCCAAACGTTGGGTATTAACAAAAGGAAGGCCTGTAAATAATATTTTATTTTCGCTATTAATAATGTGGGTTCAATTGTGATATGTAGTATTCTATATACATGTAAAAAACTCATATATATATACATATATATATATATAAGACATAAAAGACTTGAAGAAACTAATATTAGAATTCAAGAGTAAATGTCATTTATATATATATATATATTTATAAGATCGCCCAAATTAAAACATTATTATAAAGAGATTTTTACATATTATTTGAGAGATTAAAAAAAAAAACTAGTTTATCAGAGAAAGTAACTGCCCGCATGTAGCGCGGTTGAAATCTTAAGAGAACAAAACTAGTTCTACTGTGAAAACCTACACCAGTTTTCGAAACTTCAACTATTACAAAAATTTTTTTTTTTTGTTTTTTTGAATTCCATAGATATTTTGTCTTTTAATTGTTTGGTATCTTTATAAATCTACTTCCTATTTGCTATTTTTCTTATCCATGAACAAAGTTCATACTAACTTCTTTTCTATTTATTTATTATTATTATTTTTTTTTTTGGTTTTTGGAGGTAGAAAGTTCTTATCATCTTTGTTGGACTAAAAATATGCCTAATGCACTGTCTGCTTTGTGTTAAAAATTAAAAGGAAAATTTTACAGGAAAGTACTGTAGATTTTCCTAATATCCTTAAGGGTCAAAGTCAAAGACAATTCTTTTAAATGCTAATATACTTATTATATAAGTATGTCATTAAAATAATTAAGAAAAATTTGTTCTTAAAATATGGTTAATAAAATATTAGTGTTTTTATTGTCCAACCTATAAAAATGAAATTATATATATCATAACAAGAAAGAGAATAATAACACATCCTTCATATAATGCTTTTTTTTTTTAAATATAAACCTTATGAATACATAAAATCAAAATACAAATAAGCATTTTTTTTTATGGCAAAATATGATTGAAAAGTAATATAAACTTTAAATATAAGTGATATTAACATTTTATAACTAAATATATTAAAAAATATTTAAAAAATAAAAATAACACAAATGATATTAGTAACAGCCTAAGAGAAAATGATTGAAAAACTGCACGTAGTGCAGGCCAACCACTTGTTATTAATAACGCTTTCAAGATAGCCTTGATGGGCTTAGGTGGCCCAAAACGGCAAGCATTGAAGACGTTTTGATGGTTTGTGCTTCTGCTGTTCTGCGTTCTTATGCTATTGAAAAACTGCAAGAAAATACCCCACGATGGCTCGATCAATTTCTGCTTCCGCCAACTATTTCCTGCTTAGGTTTGTGCCCATGATTTGCTGGGTTTGCTTTCTGAAAATAAGAGGTAAAGAGTTGCAAGCTATTTCCGCTCAGAATTTGCTGGGTTGGTTCTTAATTGTTTTCATCTTCATTTTTTATTTTCATAACGGAGATTCCGCCACGGGCAATGAAGATTTTGTGCTTGATTCCATGTTCTGTGACTCTAATTTAAGGCTCATACCAAACCTAAAGGATGGAGAAGAGGAAATTTACACAAGTGATGCCTTTGCTATTCTTCTGCTGTAAAGTCCAAATCGAAGAATCCCACTGGCGTCGGCAATCTCATTCGTTTCGGAGGAGCGGGTTCTGAAGCAAGCATCCATTTGGATCATTGATGTCCAAGCCGAGGGTGTTATCACTCGGAGGAATGAAGGTGGCACCTTTCTCATGCACACCAACTGTTCCACACGTGGCCAGTGTGAGTTATAATGGTTTTGTTACAAGGAATATATACTGGGAATTAGTAGTTGATTTAAGATTATGTGTAAATCTCAGGATAAGGATTTTTTTACATAATTTATGTTTCTCATCTAGCAAGAATTTAATTTAGTTTGTAAATTTAATTCCCTTCTAAATGAATTCTTCCTGTGTGTGCAGTGAACTAGGTATGAGGAGTTAGGACTACTCCAATTATAAATTTTATTTGCCAGCTTTCATATGAAAATTTGTGGTCAAATTTACCAAGCAAAAAATTAAGGGAAACCGAAGACAACATGAACACATGGAAAAAGCACTCAGTGGCAGGTAATCAGATTTGGGATTTAATAGATTCAATTCCAGATATGATTTCTCTTCATAATCTTATTTGATGATGTTGGCATATATTTTCATAGAAAGAACGATTGAAAGAACAATCAAAACCCAAGGCCCATATGAAGAACTTTCTCTTTTTTTGAACTGTTAAAAGTTTAAATATCTTGCTTTTCATGTGCAATTTCTTGCAAGGGAATCTGTTTTGGTGCATTGTTGTAATGTATTTGCACTTAATTTGTTACTTCTTTTTATCAAAATGAAAAAAAAAAAAAAAAATCTGTTTTGACTTTTATTTAAAACCTGTGAGATTGCACATTTGTTCAAGCAACATAACCAGCTCTTTTCATGACTTTGGTAGCAAACTTAGTTAAATGTTGCTACTAAGTTTTGTTTTTATTTTTTGTATATAGAGACTAAAACCTAATTTAATTTTTAATTTTTTTATCTTTTCTTAGTGATATGAGCTTGAATTGCCTTAGTTAAAGTGTTGAGAATTTGAATTATTAAATTTTGTAGAGAATAGATGATTATAAACCAATTTTACCGATCATCTTTCTTGATTTTAGACAATTTAAAAGGGTAACTTAGTTGTTGAAACATGTCATGTTGAAGAAGCTCAAACAACATGTCATGTTAAAGAAACTTAGAGATGCATAGGTTAAACAGCTTAGGCGTAGAAGCCTCCTGCCAATAAATAAGAGGCAGAAGCCTCTCATCAGGAAGACAGAATAGGTGGTTAAACTTGAGGGAAAATGATGTTTATACAATTGCTAGTAAAGGCAAGGCAATTCTATTGTTTCTAATCTACTTGCTTTATTTATAAGTTATCTTATAACTTAAAGCTTTTACAAATATTTATAAAAGTAAATCTTTTATTTTTAAACTGGGGCAATGGAATAGTTTCTTAAGTAAATTTTTTTATTTATTTAGCATTTCTTTTTGTTGAGGGTTACCATGGTGACACATCGTAACTTTCATTTGCAGAGATGTTGATGAGGAAGCGAGGAATTTGGTTGAAGCTCGTACCATGTATAATTATATCCTTATGAAGTATATCTGAAGCCTCTTATTCATTTTATAGTCTTAGATTTTAAATTAACAATATGTTAAGAAAAGGATGACACACTGAGCTGTTAAACCTCTGAATCTTGCTATACCTTAGGATTTGTATTAACTTACCAGCCTGTTAATAAGAAAATATTAATTACAATAACCAAGAATATTTGTCTAAATATATTTATCAATGTCTTTATAGTTTTAACATGCTACTTTTTACTATATACATATACACACACACAATACCTATTAAAGGTGCTTCCAATAATGACCCAGACCCATCAGTCCTTACAGCCCTTAATATTTTCATTATGTTTTTGTATTCTTTCACCAAAAAACATTCCTCACCATATTATCACTAATGCTTGAAAGCTTTTCATGACATGTGGCTGGTAACTGCAGGGAACTTCTCAATGTGGATGTTATTCCAACTAAAAAGAAGTTTCGAAAAGGAACAATTTTGGTTTCCTTTTCATTATAAATTATAGATAGACTAGCCATTTTGTACAAAGCTTGGTAATCGAGGCCGGGATCCCCAAGTCATGGCTCCTCTGTGCCTTTCAGAGACATGGGCAGCAATGGAGGGCTTATATGCATCTGGTCAAGCACATGCTATTGGGGTCAGCAACTTCTCATCCAAGAAGCCATGGGCTTATAACAGTATTCTTTTATACTGTTATGCAGTTTTTTTGTTTCTTTACTCATGTTACAAATGTAAAATCAATGTAGTTCTGCCTCTAAAAAGTCTAATAGACCTTTGAATTTTGAAGTTTTATTTTGCTTCAATGACATCTGCAGGTTGGTCTTTGCATTTTTTGCTTTCTAGAGAAAAGATATTCACATGATTCCTTTTCCTTGCTTTTTATTGTCTACAGTCATAGGAGCTATAATATTTTTGAGGGATTGAAAAATAAGTAGAAACATAAATACTGCTTCTATGTTTGGCATTTCTCAACATGACTTCCCATTGTTGTTTGTCAAGTGTTAATGAATATTTTTTTATCATTGTATTTTAATTTTACAGCAAGTTGCCTCTTGGGTTTTTTTTTTTTGGGTTTTGCATTCATTATATATTAATGTGTTTTTGCCTCATTTTTCTCCTTTCAATTTCAGTAGATTTAAAGTTTTGCTAGAATTTCTGCACATGCTGTTTAGCCAAATGATACATTGGGACAGGAAGAGACCAAAGCTTCACATTGTGAAGATTGACAGAACTACCAATCAAAAGTTTCTTTAATATGCTTCATATTTCTTAGAAGAAATAGCCAAGGGAGTTCTTTGGGAGAAACAAGATCACATAAATTCTCTCTGAGTTGATCATGTTTGCATTTCTTCTCAAATTTGATGAAGAAGCGGTTGGTTTTTGAAGTTAAAGAATTTGCAACTGTTTTTGGAGGACAGTTTCTTTCAGCAACCTAGGCATGGTGAGCACAGCTAATATTTGCTGGGAGTGAGTACGCATGATGAGCATAGCTAATATTTCAACCTTTTCGCATTTGGCCATTTTAATCTTCCTGCGCCCTTTTTAATATTTATAATTAATTTTTTCCTTCAAGCATATGAAGTATGGTTGGGTGAAGGATATGATTGTTTGTAATATCAGGTTTATTTGGAAAAATTAGACTGATATGAAGGGGAATTCATCTTCACAAAGATTATTACTAAAAACTTTCAAGAATATTTTAAAATTATGTTATTCAAAATCCTTTGGTTCAATGTTTTAGGTGGATTAGTCTTTAAGGGGGTAATATGATTTTTGGTTTCTATCTCATATGTGATAATAGAATTTGCATTTTGTATGCTATAATTTTTCTAGTATTTTAACATGATAATCCAACCATGTATGGTTTTTGATTTATTTTTGAAAGTTATAATTAATTTTAGTTTTGCACTTTAATTTTTTATTAATCAAAAAATTATATCTTATCCATTTAGTAATAGTGTTGTGAAATAATTATCTATGACTATGGAGGACATCACCATAAAAACTAGAATGTAAAAGAGATTACAAGAGTGTTTTTCTTACACTTTGTAGGTTTTGTCAATTTGGGATTGTGAATAGTTAGTATTATTAACCTCGCATCTTTTCCTTAATATGACTATTTTAAGGATAACTATTATAAAAAAATGATTTAGGAAATTTTTTTTTATTTTGTAGAATTTTATATGTTATTTAAATAATTAATTATTTTTATTTATTTGATATTTTTAATATTAAATATATTTATTTATTTAATGACATGTAAAAATTATATAGAAAAGTGACATAAAAAAATTATCTCTATATTATTACCATTAAAATTAACTTTATGTTATAAATTTCTTTTAAAAAATTAAATATGTATAATTATTTTATTTATATTTAAAATAAAATATTCAATTGAATCATTGAAAGCCCTGCGTAGCCGAGTATCAATTCGTTATTGTAGATAAGGAAGAAGAATGGGGAATCGAAAATGGAGAAAATTGGGAGAGGATTTGAGTGATCGGCAGACGTCTGTGGAGAGAATTGAGAAGTATTAATGGGCCCGCTTGGTTAGATGGGTTTTTATTGGAAAGAAATTAGGGAATCGATGATAGAGAGACAGATAGGTATCACTCAAAGAGTCTTTCAATCCTCTATGTTCATCACTTTTCTGCCATTGCTTGCAAGTTTCTTTGTTTGCATTTGCTTGACTACATTTGTCAAGTAAATGTGAAAATTGACATACAATAAATATGAAGCTTGCAAGTTTCTTTGTTTGCATTTGCTTGACTACATTTGTCAAGTAAATGTGGAAATTGACATGCAATAAACATGATGCATGTACATGCCAATATGTAATATAAGAGTGGAAGAATTTCAAAGTAGGAATTAATTTTTAGATAATTTAAATCCATGAATGAGATATAAAAATTTCAAATTAAAAAAGTAGTACGAAAATATTTACATTTTAATAGATAAGAATTTCTTTCTTAAATCCTCTATAATTACTTATGGTTTCTCAATTACATTTTTATGAAAAAAATTCTTGCAACCAAGGTCTAGGGCTAATTGGTAAGCTCATCACAATCAATTCAATTGCTTCCTCACTAATATCTCACAAATCAGTTTTGCTTTTAACTTTATTTGTTGTAGCATAAAATTAATAAATCATATTTACTTGAAAAGTCAACTTGTGAAGTTTAATTTTATTATTTAATCTTCCTTATTTAGATTATGGATGAATAGATCCTACACTTTTTATTAATCTATTCTCTTTACCATCACTATTTTAATTCTCATAGCAATATATATGAAAGTTGACCTAAAATAAATATGGTGCATATGTGTGCCAATCTTTAATATGAGTCAAAGAAATTTTAAAGTAGGAGCCAATTTTTGGACAAAATAACAGACCATTGATGAAGTAATTTTACTCTAAGTCTTTTTTCACAAAGAATAAAAACCATATAAAATCTATTGAAAATCACATAATCCTTGCACATAGTAATAAAATTAAAGCTAATATAATAAATATAAGCATATAAAATGCTTCTCATCAACCACGAATGAGATAGTAGTAAAAATTTGATTTTATATAATGCCTATATAGCAAATTATTGATAAATTGTAATCTTTATGCTATTAATATATCTTTGGTGAGCCTTCATTAGAGAAAGTATATAAAAATGATAGTAAATTCTATTGTTATATAAATAGTAAATATCTTAAAAATATAATAATTTAAGATTTATATTGATTGCCTATGGTAAAATCAAATGCTTTAATATATCGTATCTTGATAAATTTTATTTTAGATTGTTATTTTTTAAAATTAGTTTTAATGAAAAATTCTTCTCTTTTTTGGTTTAAATAATTTTAGAATTAGTTACTTTTTGTACTTAATTAATTTTAATTTTTGTAGATTCAACACTTTTCTTATTACTTTATTTCTTTATTACTTAAGTGACTAATACACTTGTTAGTAAATTTTAGCGCATCAATTTTTCTTAGGATAATGTACCATGAATCTTATCTATTTGTTTCTTGCAAAGTTCTAGTGAAATTGAAAATTAATATAAAGCATTGATACATACATCACTTTCTAATCACAATAGTAGTTCATATGCAAACATCATCTATAACAAGCGTGATGTAATTAATATTAATTAAAACCCCAAAAGGAAAAAAAAGGGTTGTTTTACAACTTGAACACCAAGGCATTAATGAAGACTTGAATCAAGTTGTAAAACACCAAGGCGTTGATGAAGACTTGAATCATAATACCATGACCAAGACTCAGTCAAGTCTTTCATTAATGTGAAAACTTGTCTTGTCAGATAGATCAAATCAAAACAATGAATATAGAAAAAATAAAGGAGATTATTTTCTCATGAGTTACATTTGCAAAGAGCGAAAGACTTGGGTGTTAAAACCCCAATTTGGTCCTCTATTTTGATAAAAAAAAAGTCTTTTTTTTTTTAATTTCTCTACTAAAAATACTTTTTTTTGGTCTTTAAAATTTAAATTTTGACCCATTTTTAGTTCATTCATTAAGTTTTGATATTAGAGGGTAGAAATTTCAAAAGAAAGAGATTATTTTCTCATGAGTTACATTTGCAAAGAGCGAAAGACTTGGGTGTTAAAACCCCAATTTGGTCCTCTATTTTGATAAAAAAAAAGTCTT